AACCTCCAAGAAATACCTATGAACCCCTGGGAGTGATTTCTCAACTTGAAACCACAATCCAGATGTTGTTGGAATTCAGCGTCCACTTAATGACACAAAATCAAGGTAGAAAGATGAAAAGAAAATCACACATATAGGAGTTTATAAAAACATGCATCAGGAAGTGGAAGGAAATAAGCCAATTGTCTACATTTAGTATAAGAAGAATGTGTGACTGTTATGACAGGAGAAAATGCTAAAACTACTTTAAATCTGAATCTAGAATGAAAATTATAGAATCCTTTTGAAGAACAATCTTAAAAACAAGCTAAATTGCCTCACTGTGCAGGTGCTCAAAGGCAGGACTTTATATGATACATTTGGTGTCACTATAAAGAGATAGGCATTCCCTTTACTTAATCATATAAAGAAGTAGCCAATTCTTACACCTCCCAGGTAATGTTTCCCCTTCCTAATGCCTACATCTTATAATTCTTCTACAGATTTTTCCCTCATCTCTCCAAGGACTACTGTAGAACCCATTGTTTTCGTGACTATGTTAAAATGGATCCCTGCTACAAAGGACCCAACTTCCACCGTCTGTGATGACTGTGTGAAATTGAAGTCTTGCATTAATGTTATGATTCTCAATGAATCACACAAACGGCTTCCGCCCCCCAATTACATCCTTCTTATGGTGATTTATGGCAAATTTCTTTCACAGACATACGTATACAAACTGTAGTTTAAACTGGGCCTTTTCCCGGGTTATCCCTAAAAATGAAGTAATGAGTAGTGACTCTGATGCGTGTCCTGTCCATAGCTCTCCATGTGCTGCTTGGCGGACTTCCTCCCGCTCCATGACCTCTGAGCAGAACAGGGAAATCTCCCAGCTCCCATGGGACTGCACTCTGTCCCCACGTTGGTTCACCGGAGTCCTTTACTCATTTAACATCCACCTCCAAGGTGGAAATGGGGACCTGGCCACCCCGTTGGACAGATGAGGACACGGAGGTTCAGAATTAAGTGAGTTTTGAGTCATTCTGCATTAATGTACAAGATGAGGTTTCATGAGTAGTGACTCTGATGCGTGTCCTGTCCATAGCTCTCCATGTGCTGCTTGGCGGACTTCCTCCCGCTCCATGACCTCTGAGCAGAACAGGGAAATCTCCCAGCTCCCATGGGACTGCACTCTGTCCCCATGTTGGTTCACCAGAGTCCTTTACTCATTTCACATCCACCTCCGAGGTGGAAATGGGGACCTGGCCACCCCATTGGAC